ACTAAACCTGCCTAAACCCGGGACTAAACCCGCCCTAAACCCAGGACTAAACCCGCCCTAAACGTGCACTAAACCCACCCTAAACCCGGGACTAAACCTGCCCTTAACCTGGGACTAAACCCATCCTAAACCTGGGACTAAACCCGACCTAAACCAGCCCTAAGCCTGCCGTAAACGCGGGACTAAACCCGCCCTAAAGTCAGATCTAAACACACCCTAAACCCGTCCTAAACCTGGGACTAAACCTGCCCTAAACCCTCCCTAAACGCAGGACTAAACCTGGGACTAAACCCGGGACTAAACCCGCCCTTACCCTGGGACTAAAACCACCCTAAACCCGGAACAAAACATGCCCTAAACCCACCCTAAACCTGGGACTAAACCCACCCTAAACCCACTCTAAACCCGCCCTAAACCCGCCTTAAACGCGGGACTAAACCCACCCTAAAACCACCCTAAACCCGTCCTAAACCCAGGACTAAACCCGCCCTAAACCTGCACTAAACCCGCCCTAAACCCGGGACTAAACCCATCCTAAACCTGGGACTAAACCCGACCTAAACCAGCCCTAAACCTGCCACAAACGTGGGACTAAACCCGCCCTAAACTCGGATCTAAACACGCCCTAAACCCGGAACAAAACATGTCCTAAACCCACCCTAAACCCGGGACTAAACCCACCTTGAACTCTGGACTAAACCCACGCTAAACCCGTCACAAAATCTGCTTTAAACCTGGGACTAAACCCATCCTAAACCCGGGACTAAACCCGCCCTAAACCTGGGACTAAACCCGCCCTAAACCCACCGTAAACCCGAGAGTAAACCCGCCCTAAACCCGCCCTAAAACCTCTCTAAACCCACCCTAAACCCAGGACTAAACCTGGGACTAAAACCCCCCTAAAACTAGGACTAAATCCGCCCTAAACCTGGGACTAAACCCGGGACTAAACCAGAAAGTAAACCCACCCTAAAGCCGCCCTAAACCTGCCCTAAAACCGGGACTAAACGCGGGACTAAACCCGCACTTAACCCGGGACTAAACCCAGGACAAAACCCGGGACTAAACCCGGGACTGAACCTGCCCTAAACCCGAAACTAAACCCACCCTAAAGCCAGGACTAAACCCACCTTGAACTCGGGACTAAGCCCACACTAAACCCGTCACTAAATCTGCCCTAAACCTGGGACTAAACCCATCCTAAACCCGGGACTAAACCCGCCCTAAACCCGCCCTAAACCCGGGACTAAACCC